AATACTGTCCTACTAACTCTTTCATGGGTTACAAATTACTCTTTCCCCTTATTCCACATAGACAGAAATCCAAACCTGTGTTTATTTCTAATACAAACTCTACCTGATTCTAAAAAAAAAGGATTTGAGTGAGTTTTCAGTGAAAGTTACATCAGCTGCCAAGAATATTTGATGGGAGTTGAAACTGTATAATGAAAAGCATTTTCCTTTATTTTTTATTAATTAAAAGTACCCTTGAATCAGAGATAATTTATGTTTTTGAATTATTTGTAATTCCAATGAACACTTTGTTAAAATGTACCCACACATGGTATCAGGGCCAAAATTCTTCAAGTGGTGAAGTTATTTCTCCTTTTTGTATCATTAACCACTGCACTGTGAAATTCTGTTGAAACAGCGAAGGCTCCCTCTTCCATGTAGCCACTCTGTCAGTTCCCTTACCTCTGACCTATGTCATACCTGCCCCTTCATCACAGTTAGCTGCACTGATGTCCTTGAATTGTGCAATTCCCAAGTGCAGCAAACAGTTACCTGGAGCAAAGAGGTCAGTGCATTGATTTGTTTGCTGTATTGAACCCAGGTTTGAAATACTGCTTGACCTAACTACATCGAGAGCAGTGGTTAATCTAAAATTCTGTTCTCAAGGGGACATCAGATTCCTGGGGAATTACCCTTAGGACAAAGGTTGCTTGAACACTTTTACAATTCAATGCCAACCAATCAGTTCTCTGAGCTCCTGTGAGATGTTAAGCTTTTTGACATCTGCATGTTTCCCTATTCCTAAAACAAAAATAGCAGAAACAGCTGCTGCTGTGAAGAATTTTAAGCTGCTGAAGTGATTTTATAAAGTATTATGGAGGAAAATCTTTTCCAGGAGAAGGACCTTCTAGCTTCTGCAACTTTCTTGTTTTTAAGAGGAAGCCTTCTGGAAGGTATTGCTGTATAGCGTATTGGTTAAGAGCATGAATTTGGTGAACAACTAGAATTGAACAAGAACTAGAATTGGAAAGAACTTGAATGAGTCTTGACTCTCCCCTTAGTACCTGTACAACACTGGGCAAGTGACTTGACCCCTCCTAAGCCTGTTTCTTCATCAGCATCATTCATGGGACAGTAAGCAAAACAGCAAGCAGAGAAAAAACAGATGAGAGTTGGTGCCAAAGAGACAATCTCTGTAGAATAGGGGTTAAAATTTTGCAGGAAAGTTTCCTGCCTGCTTCTTAGATTACAGAATAAATTGAGGCTGATGGTTGTTAAGGAAAGGTGAGGAAGAGAAGAAATGTAGAAGGCTTTGGGGAAGTGATGATAGTTTGGAACAGCACTTGTGAAGGTAGAAGAGGAAGGGGCTAAAGGGAGACAAGCAAGGTATGGGGGTAAGGGGCTGAGGGCTCAACAAGGGTGCCAGCTGTGATCTTCAGTAAAGGCAGCACATGGTGAATTAGAGATGCAGTCACGGTGATGATTAGGGTTTTCAAAGGTTAAATGACTCACCAAGGGTCTCAGATTTCTTAAGGCATCCTGTCTCCAAGTATAGAGCTCCTTCTAATCTATAACAGGAGATCTGAGTTTATCCTTAATAAGTTTTCCTTTGGGCCTCATGTTTCTAGTTTGCAAAAGCCACCAGGCCAGGTGATATTGAAAGTTGCTCAGTCCTCTAGGATGTTGTAACGGGAGTTATGCTCCTGGATCTGCTTCCCACTAGTTGTGTTATATGTTACTTTGGGCAAGTCATTTGAACCTCCTTGAAACTGGACAACAAATGGGTGTGGACTGCCTGTCACTACTTGAGCTAATGAAGCAGAGGGGGTTGAATAGTATATGAGCATTTTTATTTTCCAATATTGCTGGCAGCATGGGAGAGCAGCAGGTCATCCACAAAAATCTGCCTGTGCGCCCCCTCCCCCCCGGCCCCACCGACCACCACCACAAGCCAGCTGCTTATATTGGGTGAAAAGACAAAGATCACACAGGGAAGTGGGCAAAAAGAATAAAAAATGGGTACAAGGGTTACAGATTACTGGCAATGTGGGCTGTGGGTTGCAAAGGGCAGGGACCTCTGGGACTCCATTATTTCAGCAACAAGGTCATTAACTTTTCCATGATGATAGGCAGTTCTTGGATAAGGAGAATGGACCACATTTTGAGGTTAACTCCCAGGTCCAGAGGCATACAACTCCCAGCCAGGTCAGAAAGTGCTTTCTTTAATCAGAACAAAACAATCATGGTTAACAGCATGATTAATATTTCTTATAACTATAGCTAGTCTCCACTATTCTATTTCTGCCCCCTGCCCCTAATACCCTGGCTTGTTTCTGGAATTAAATTTTGTTTCAGAAGCTTGGTTCTCAAAAGTGCTGATCCTGTGAAGGCAGTCATGCTGTGCTGAGGTGAGTCTCATTTATCATGAGTTCTGAGTCCTTCAGAGCATCTCCTCCTTCAGGGAGGTATATTCAGTTGTATAGCACATCAAATATTTAAGTCACTGGCCCACACCAAAAATCACTTAATCATGTTGTAGGTGGCGAGAACCGTACCAGGTGTTAGACTGGTTGGGTCAGACGGGACCTGGGTTCAGGAACCTCGACACTTGCGTTCTGGCTAGGAAATAATTCAGAGCCAAGACTCAAACTATAAGAGAACATTCATTTGGAAAATCACAGAGGTAGGAGAAGTAATTGGTAAAAGAAATGGGCTTAAGAAATGGACTTAGGAAACAGGTTATAGAGGCAAAGCAAGGGCCCTTGAAGCTTGGGAGTGAAGAAGGTGATGGTAAATTGGGGGAAGGGGGAGGGAAAGTCACCAACCCGGTCGCAGGAGAAAGGTCGCTGGGTCCTCCATTCTAAGGGTTTTTAAGGCTGGCGATTTTAGGGGAGATCCTGGGGGAAGCTCTCAATATAATGTTCAGCAGCTTTCCAGGTGTGTCCTCTCCAGGTCTAGGTCTCCACTGATTGATTGGTCCAGGTCAAGGCAGGGGATCATTATCCAATGCAGCTGGTCCTGAGATCAGCTGTGGGGTCATTGTCTGGTTTTGCTCTTTTTCTAGGCCTGGAGCTAAAATACACCTGAGGCCTAGATGTTATCTTTAGGGAAGAAAGGGCAGGGATCCAAACCAGTGATATGCTAGGGGAGGAAAGGTCACCACCAGGACAAGGTCCCACCCTACACTTGTCCTTTGCTAGGCACCCAGGGCCTCCTGCCCTGTGACCTTCTGTCCCTGGCCCACGGTCCTCGTCCTGCTCATGTCTGTCTAACTGCCCACCACAATTACATTGGCAATAGTCCACCACCACACACAAACAGGGCAAAAAATTGTAAAAGAAAATAACATGTTTTAAGGAAGAACACCCTATGTAGAAATGAAGCCTGAATCAAAGCAGTCGCAAGGCCCTCACTGAGTGTTACACTGAGCCAGCTGCCAGGAGCAGACCCAGACCTCCCGGTTGAGTAGGTGTTAGCTGCCTCTCAGGGCCCTAGAGAAAATTCCATTCCTTCCGGTGCACAACACAATCCTGAGCAGTGCTTTTTAATAAATTGCCAGAGAGCCATATAAACAGCCTACAAGATCAGAGAGGCTGACTTCGTTTTCATCAGTGGAAATGGATTTCCTTGGGGAACACAGAATGGGAAATGTTTTTGTTTTGTTTTTTACTGGCAATAACAATTTTTTTCATCACTTTCTTCCCAAGACTTTCCAACTCAATTATAGTTTAAAATTAAGGCCTTGGGCCCGAGTCCCAGCAAGGTTAACCAGCAGTCCTCCGTATACCTTGCACCCCTACCCCCTGCCCTCACCCTGAGGTTTACTGGAGTCGGGCTCACAGGAAACCTCGGGGGACCCGGGGGAAGGACTGCAACTCGAAAGCCCTCGCCCGCGCCCC